CTGGTCCACCGTGGTCAGCTGACTGAAGAACAGCACAAGTGTGAATGATTTACAAATGCAATTAAACTGACTGATGTGCTAAATCAGTCATGTGACCTCAACAACTCTCCACTTCCAGTATACCCATTAAAAGGTGAATTCAAAGTGTGTAGAAAAAACAGGGTTATGTTCTTACAAATACCCTTGTTTATTGTCTCATGTAAGAAACAACAACACAATCAAACTGATACTCCTGAATGATGTGTGTTTGAAGCATTCTGAGAGGTTTACTCTCTTCAACAGGAAGGCTCAGCTTTCCTTGAAAAACTACTGCTTGTTTTGAGCTTTCTCTGTAAACAATCTGGGGGGGGGGGGGGGGGGGGGGGTAACAGTAACACCAGAAGGTATAAGGAACACTTACACACAACCTAATCTAAACACTCTCACACAATCAAAAAACATTCTGCATTTTTATGAAGACATTATTGAGTATGTTCATTAAGCATATTACGTTATTGTACACTGGTCCACACAGACAGAAACACAAGTTTACTTCAGTCTCAAAAAGTATAGCTTAAAACTCACCAGTCAAGGTCTGTTTACCATAACTGACAAAAGCATATCTCCAACCGAGCCATAAAAGTTATAATATCGCTTATCAATAACTCCACTCTAGACGCTGTTCGAGAGAAGTAAAAAAAAAAGAGCTTATAGACGGCGGGAGCCACAGTGAAAGAGTGAGAGACACTTCCTCTTCCTTCAGAGCAGGACAGGATGCATACAGTAAACAACAGTGTTTCCTGAACTTGACTTCTTGGAAAAAAAAACGTCAAAGACGTCTACCTCAGTCGACTGTCATGTGGAGAATGAGCGGACCAGTGACCACCCAGTGGAACAGTATGAGTTAGCCATTACTCCAACTCAAACTGACCACAACACATGACTACACCCAGAACAGAAGACAGCCCTGGTGTTTTGGCATGTCTGTAATGCAAAACTGTGATTAACCAGCTTTTTAAATGAGCTCATGAGTTTGAACTGAGATTCCTGGCAAGAGCACAAACATGTAAAAAAAAAAGTGCAGTGCAAACCTTGACCTTGAGCATAACAAAATGAGAGATTAGATATCAGCCCGATGTGAGAGCAACGTGTGTGAATGAGTCAACAGGAGCAGATGGATCTAAATTTAGATTATGTCTATACGCACGGTAAATTAATTTGTGTTGTTGTTTTTAGACAAGGTCTTCCTTGTTTTGACTAGGAGACAAGTTAAAAAAATCTTTATTTTACTGTATTATAGTAATGAGAACAGCCATTATGAACTAAATTATTATTAAAAAAAATAACATAATAGTCGGGAAAAAATATTAATTGTCCAAAAATATGTTTCATTTTCTTTATGCAAAATATGTTTTCTTGTTTTTCTCTTTTGATTTTGCGCTGAAATGTGTTTTTATGAGTTTCATGCTATTATCTTTGGAATATGAGTCAGATGTTGCTACTTTAGCTCATATGGAAAGGATGATGAAAGAAAAGAGGAATGCAACAAAACAGCACTTCCCCAATCACAGAGAGAAATGCTGCGATCAGATGAGATGATACCGCTTTCTTGATGTTTTTTATAGATTGGTAACACTTTACAGTAATCTCCCATTTGTTAACATTAGTAAATGCTTTATTCAACATTAGTAAATGCTCTTTATTCAACTAACAATGAGAAATATATTTTTACAGAATTTATTAATCTTTGTTAATGTTAGTTAAATACAAAATACAATTCACAGAGCATTAATGTTATCAGATACTAAGATTCTACATACATGAACTAAGATTTACAAATGCTGTTCATTGTTCATTCATGTTTACTTGTGTAGTTAACCACTAAAACCTTATTGTAAGTGTTACATAATTTACTTAAAGCAAATATTGCAGACATGGCAGTAAAAAATGTGTGAGTGGCTCATTTTACCATGTCATATCTGCTACACTGTGCAAGGAACAGTGTGACGTCGTCTTTTCTGAGCGAGAGACGGTCTCTGTTGCACTATTGGCCTTCTAATCGCTATCGTCTTTTTTTATGACCCCTACATATGTGTGCGTATATTACGTGTGTAATAAATTTAAAAAAAGAACACATTCTCTCTTTCCACTGGCAAAGCAACAAATGCACCAGAATTGAATGATCATATCATGAACACTGGCTTGTCACTATGATCATTACATAATATATTAGGGAGAAGGTTACAATGATTATGATTCGACATTGTGTAATTACTAGGGCTGTCAAGCGATTAATCGCGAGTAATCGCATCCAAAATAAAAGTTTGTGTTTACATAATATATGTGGGTGCACTGTGTATAATTATGTTCTATATATATAAATACACCCATGCATGTATTTATAGATAAAATATTTATATTTATATATAATATAAATTATTAGGGCAGTCAAATGATTAATCGCGATTAATCACATCCAAAATAAAAGTTTGTGTTTACATAATATATGTGGGTGCACTGTGTATAATTATTTTATTTATATAAATACACGCACATGCTTGTATATATTTAAGAAATATTTTCATGTATTTACTGTATCCACAAGTTTCCGAGGGGCGCTCCTGTAAAAAATAAAGTGGGTGAAACTTCCGGTGAGGCAGCGGAAGTAGCATTCCAATGGTATTTTGTGTGTTAGTTAGCGAAGAGGCTAGCTGTTTTTCTGAGAATTATTTTACTATTTAAAGACGCAAATCTTTATGAGAGATGTCGTTACGGAGCTCAGGGACAACATGTGCTGTTCGCGGTTGTATGTATAACACGGACTAAACTAATTCAGTGGCTTAAACGTGATTGTTTTGAACATAAGCTGAAAACGAAATCAGACTGTAACGTTAGTTTCCATCACCTCCCAAAAGACGACGAATCTTCCTGTGTACATTTGTTAAAATTCTTAATATTCTATAAACTCTATCAGCATGTGTTTGGCTGTTTGCTACTGATGTTACACCTAAACTCCTAAAGGATCAAAGCCTGAGTTGACAGAATACCAAATGTGCCAATTAATATATTCAAGTAGCACATTCATTTATAATTTTGAATAAACTCCAAAGCACATCAATGACTTAAGTGTGTATTTTTTATTTTAATTGTTTGTCAGCTCACACAACTGTCTGTCACCATGCCTTGATGAATATTGATTATTAATAATGTTATAATACTCCCAACCAACTACTGCGGAGGGTAAAGGTACTGTTATTTCACCCTTTTGAATTTCGTTGAGGTTGTGTTCCCACATCGTTAGCTAGCAAGTTATATAAATCTTTATAAAACGGTTAGTTCGAATCCTTGATTCTGATTGGTCAAGAGCTGTGCTTTATTCACGATAAAACACGGCTATGACCGCTTCACCCAATGGTTCTATTGATCGCTGCACAACACTGTGGTTCTATGCTGTTTTTATTTGAGCTTTCATGCATTGTACACACTGGAACGTTGTTGCTGTTCACGCTCAGGGACTATTTTTTCTAGCGGAAGGAAGGCTTTTAGTGACTTTACTTCAAGAAAGTTGCACTAATACATTGTTTTTTACATTAATATTGTGTGGCAACCGTTTTATAAAAGCAATAAGGTACTCGAGGCAAGTGCTGTATCATGAATAAGTAACGGCTGAAGGGCGTTGTTAGGCACGACGTGAAGCGTTCACGATACAGCAAGCCTCTCGTACCTTATTGCTTACATATACAGTATATACATGAAAATATTTCTTAAATATATACAAGCATGTGTGTGCATTTATATATATAAAATAATAATGCACAGTGCACCCACATATATGTAAACACAAACTTTTATTTTGGATGCGATTAATCGCAATGAATCATTTGACAGCCCTAATAATTATGTATCAAACGCTGCACTACTTGATGTGCCATTTCATGCTAGTAGTTCCAATGATACACCACGGATTAATACTCGGGGTTGATGTTTGTTCAGATCACGAACCGCACTGGTAAACGTGATGCTTAAAAAAGGGTAAAAGCTGTGTGCTGTGGAGTATAGGTGTCACTGACCGTCTGCAGCTGTTCTCTGAGTCTCTGGCTCTGCTCGCTGTGCTCATGCTTCAGTCTGGTCTTCTCGCTGTCAGCCTCGCTCAGAGCCTGGGTCAGTGTGTCCACCTGCGCCTGCATCTCCTGCACATCTCGCTCCAGCTCAGACACCTGGCTCTGCCACTGAGCCTGACAGATGTCCAGCTTGCCCCGCAGCTCGTATCGGCACTGCTGGAGCTCCTGAGGACACAGCAGCCCGAGGTCCAATCACTACAGCTGCACTGCATTTTAATCTGGGATATCACACTAACGTTATATAAAAACAACACGGCCTAACTTTACTTTAATAGTGGATCCTACAGCGAAACGCAGCTATGTTGTGTAATCTTTATTTTTAGTAGTAGTAAACTTACAATGATAGTCTTCCACACTTTTACCCTCATGACGTTTCAAACCTTCTGATTTCTTTCTTCTGTGTAACACGAAATACATTTTGAAAAAACGTCTCAGTGCTTTTTATCCATACAATGAAAGCAAATGGGATCAAATTATATATTTTTAAACATCTTGTTCTGATTTCCACAGCTGAAAAAGTCATACAACTTTAACTGATTCTGATTTGCAGTCATTAAATGAGACAAGACGCATGAAATCTGATGTGAACCTGTTCTTATTTCAGATCTCATTTCTAAATTATAAAAATATGAAGAATTTGTTACAGTAACCCTTTACAGTAAGGTCTCATTTGATAACATTAGTTAATGTATTAACTAACAGGAACTAACAATTAGTAATACATTTGTTACAGTTTTTATTAATGTTTGTTAATAAAAATCCATCTGTTTGTTGATTATTGTTGAATGTTAGTTCACCTTCATTAATGTTACCAAATACATTTGATTTAGTAAACGTTGAAATTAACATTAACTAAGATTAATAAATGCTGTAGAAGTATTGTTCATTCTTAGTTCATGTTAGTTAAAGTAGTTAATGAAACCTTATTGTAAAGTGTTACCGTTACATTTACTGTTGCATCATGAGATTTTGAATATTTGCCTAAAAAACATCTTTATATATTGATAAACTGGCCTGAAAAAGTTTTTTGAAAAATAAAAAATGTCTGATTGGATTAGAAAAACTATCAAAGCAAGTGTCATTTGCCTTATAGTAAATAGATGCACTGTTAAAAGAAAACAGAACAGAAAACTGTTCAAAGAAAGATAGAGTGAACAATATCAGAGATGAAAAGAAGACCTGTGTGGGAAACTGACTTCATACAGTCCCTAAAAATGATCATGACACCAAGCTTAAGGCTGGTTCTGAGGAAAACATCACCAGATCACACTTGCTTTTAAATGTTTTTTTTTTAACGTGTCCAAAAACATTTAGGGGGGCAACAGCATACAGTATTATAAACATCACTGTTCTGTCCAGACTCGGAGAGGCTATCAGAAACACACTTTTTTGTTGAATTATTTTTTGTTATCACAGCTGATTTGAAACAATCTGTATGGTAAAAGGAACTATAAATAAAGTTGACTTGACAAACAAAAAGACGGAATTATGACGACTCTCTATTATTCCGCTGCAGAGAGATGGAAACTTGTCTCGAGTCTCACCTCCAGCTGCTCCATGTACTTGTCCTGGAGTGTGTCTCTGTCTTCTTTCAGTTGTCTGTTCTCTATGAGCAGAGCTTTGCCCACCTGAGCAGCCAGAAGAACTTCATCCTCCTTCTGCCGAAGAGCCGCGAACAGCTCCTCGCCGTCCTTATACACCGCCAGGCCGGCGTCGTTGCTGAACTCGTACGAGTAGAAGTCTTCCTCCACTTCCATCTTATGTGTTTGTTTTACAGCTCTTGTCCCAGACTCATGGCGTGTGTATCACAAGTGAAAACCCACCATGCGTGTGAAAGACACCCAGTCTGCTCATGGTTTTCTTGAAGGCGGATGATGGAAAGGAACTGGTGTGTGTCACGGCGTGTGTGGGTTGGGCTTGTGTGTTAGTTTCAGGTGACTCGTCGTCACATATTCTTTTTCTCTTTTTTTAACAAATGTATTAAATACTATCTACTATTGCAAGATCTAAATATTATAGGATAAGTCATTTTTGAGAACATCACATGCAAGCCTACAACATGCAAACATACCTTAGATAGTTTAGTTGGCATTTTATTTTATTCTAGAAAAAAAAAACGAGATTAGCATATGGGTACATATTGCACATAGGCTATTCACAAACAGAAGGTTTATTAAAAAATATCTAAAATCAGAAGCTCAAATAAATGTAATATCTTTCACATAACTCAAACGGATTTGCATACGAATCAATTAAAATAAGCTTTTTTACAAATAAGTTTTATAAATTAAAGGGGTAGGGAAACTCCAAAAGGGCACGGGACTTCCACCAAAAGTTTAAAGCAGGTTTTAAGCCCCTTGTGGAGTGCTGGCTGGTGGACTCACTCCACCCACTATTCTAGTCAATGAACTTTAGATTAATGCAACTGCTGACTAGTCTGGAATTTAATACCAAAGTGATCTCATGTTTGATTGTTTTTCTGCAATTTTATGGTGTGCCCTAACATATGTTTCTTTCTTCCTTCCTTCCTTCCTTTCTTTCTTTCTTTCTTTCTACACAACACAAGGGTAGTACACTATACACTATAGCCTACATTCACATTACCGTGAATGATTATTATGTAGGCTTTCAAATTTGTGGACTATTTAAAACAAGATAATAAGTGGATAATTAATAGTCTCTGATGTTTAACATTTCTCACATTCTAACTTTACTTTACAATATGTCTTCATAAAATACAAGTATACCTTAACCAAATGAAAACAGTCCATCTCAGGGAAGATATGGTTTTCAGGTCAAATGTTACTGTACTTAGCCACTAATCATATTTCTGGTGTAACCGAGGCTTGGGACCAAAACAAATTTAATTTTTATTTATTTACTAATCTATTTACATTCATTATTCCTGCAACAATAAATAACCTTAAACGAGAAAGGTATTTTTTTTAGTATTTTTTTATAATAATCCTTGAATGAAATGAGGTAAATGCCATTCAGTGTAAGACAAAGGGCTCAAGAGATTAGTCCACTGGACTGCTTAATGGTGAACTAAAGAAGAATTGGCAGTGAAATAAACTGTTTCATAGGTTTCTGCTTCAGTTGTGTTGATTTATTGTTTCTAGATTATTGTGCAGAGTGATCAGATGCATTTTGAATAAATGCAAAAAGCTTAATTTCACCAAAACTAAACTTAATTTCATGCTCAGTCTCAGTTTGATGTTCAAAAGTCTCCATGCTCTTGGTTTTGGCTGGGAGAATACATATCTGTGTGCATTGAATTCCCTTTTGTAATGTTTGTTATGTGTAACGTGGATCCCTTAGTTTGGAAAAGTTTTCTCCTTGCCAGTGCATATGGGGTTTGCTTCATATTCAACTATTGTAGCATCTTTTATCATTACAGCCACAATCTTTGCTCTCTGAGAGCCATCTTGCAATTGCAAATAGGGTTCTCCAAGACTTTGATAAGTGTAAATGGTTCTGAAGTCTCGAGCATAACGCAGTTCATGTTTAGCAGTGATAGAAACTCCTGTACCATGAATTCTGTAGTTATCTGACTGACCTAACACATTTTAGGGTCCTATTAAGGGGTTAGTGATGAACTTCTCAGTCGCTTCCAAATACAGTATATACTGTCGATAGGACCAGCTAAACCTCCAGGAGTCACAAAAGTCACACAACTAGTTTTTTGTCTGTATTTCAATTTTTATTCAAAACATACTGCCAGACATGTTGCCTATTGTGCAATATTGAAACATAAAACGACACATTTTCCCATTCTGTCCCCGTTAAATTAATGAAACGCTCCTTTTCTTATCAGCCGCAGCCAACCTGTGTCACTACTGGTGTGCAACTCATGTCTAAAACACAAATATTGTTCACAAAAAAGGTATGAGCACATTCTGTATTATTGGACTGGCGTTTTTTATTCAATAGCTTCTTTTTTCCAAACATCCACAGAAATCTCAATGATACAGTGTATATATATATATATATATATATATATATATATATACACACACACACACACACACATGTTGGTGTATATAACGATATTCTCTAAAAAGTCAAGGGCATGGGACATGGCTGCTGTGCGCTTAAAGAGAGGAAGGTAGGTTTCTGCTGTATTATTTTGAATCCACACAAAGGGTTCAGGATCTGCTAGACAAACAGTGGAAGGTACACGGGGAAAGAAGATCTCCAGTGCATTTCAGTCGAGCATGTTGGGAGAGAGAACATGTGGGAGCTGCCTACATAGTGGAGAACACCAAACAGTAACTGAGCTTCACAATGCTGCACTTTTGCCCATTCTGCAAGAGAGTGTGTGAAGAAAACTACTGGAGTTACACACTACCTAAACTCGTTTTTGTAATGTTTATTTGACAGATTAGACCGATGCCCTGGGCCAGGTTTCCTGATGGAGCTTATTATAAAAAGTTCATTTTTTATTATGCTTTTTAATGGTTTTTGATAGATGACACATACAACACATTAACTGCTGCACAAATGGAATGACACACTGTTCTCCCTCCCGACAGAACTTCACTAACATGAAATAACATGGGGGGCTTGTGAAGTATTCATGGGGGCAAAATTTTAAAATAAAGGCCCTATGTAGAAACACACCTTTGGGTAAAAGCGCTGATCAGGTTTTATGCCTCTGCATCAGCACTCTTACTGTGGGATGCATTGTATACATTTGCCCATTCTTTGGTACAATTCAGCTCCATTATCATAGAGCAACATCCAATTCAAACTATGCAGCTCTACATGAACTGATACATAAATGACAAGGGAGTGGGGGCGTTGGGGGGGTGTTATGATCTTTTGGGGAGCATCATCCCAAGAATGACATCCATTAATGAGCAAATTACATTCCTATTTCCTTTTGAAAGTCAAGGCATCGCCAATGTATGACTCGGTGATTTCTCCCCATGTAACTACAGGTATGACGAGCACTGGAAAAGTGTGTGTGTGACCGCAAGGAAGATACAGTTTGTTTGAAACAGAGATGAGAAGAATGTGAGAGTGGATATAGAGGGATTGGGGCGTGGACTTCCGACCTCAGCAGCTGCTGTGTGATAAATGGAAAATCTCTACATCATACCCATCTGCATCAGAGAGTTAGCATATGCCATCGGCTTGACGTTTGGATGAGGCTGAGGAAAGGGAAAAAATAAATAATGTATAAGTTGTGCAACACATATTTTAGGCATATAGAGCCTCGATGCACCAATAGGAAAATTCCTCCCAATAGGAAAAAGTAGGGGCCAGATTTACGAAACAAGGCAAAATAGAGTGAGAGAGCGCAAAACCAAAACACACCAATGGGACGTGATCTACTCACATCACGCAAATTAAATAACACCTGAAAGAACATTTCTGTTCTGACCAATGTAATCTACAAGCGTGTAGTTTAAGACAAGCTTTTTTGGGAGGTAAATACCAGTACATTGACGAGCGCAAATATCCTCATATCCACAAGTTTCCGAGGGGCGCTCCTGTAAAAAATAAAGTGGGTGAAACTTCCGGTGAGGCGGCGGAAGTAGCATTCCAATGGTATTTTGTGTGTTAGTTAGCGAAGAGGCTAGCTGTTTTTCGGAGAATTATTTTACTATTTAAAGACGCCAATCTTTATGAGAGATGTCGTTACGGAGCTCAGGGACAACATGTGCTGTTCGCGGTTGTATGTATAACCGGACTAAACTAATTCAGTGGCTTAAACGTGATTGTTTTGAACATAAGCTGAAAACGAAATCACAGTGATCCTACCAACGACTGAAGTTTCCATCAACCTCCCAAAAGACAACGAATCATCCTGTGTACATTTGTTTAAAATCTTAATATTCTATAAACTCTATCAGCATGTGTTTGGCTGTTCGCTACTGATGTTACACCTAAACTCAGGATCAAAGCCTGAGTTGACAGAATACCAAATGTGCCAGTTATTGTATTCAAGTAGCACATTCATTTATAATTTTGAATAAACTCCAAAGCACAATGACTAAGTGTGTATTTTTTATTTTAATTGTTTGTCAGCTCGCACAACTGTCTGTCACCATGCCTTGACGAGTATTGATTATTAATAATGTTATTAATACTCCCAATCAACTACTGCGGAGGGTAAAGGTACTGTTATTTCACCCTTTTTCACCCTTTTTCATTTCGTTGAAGTTGTGTTCCCACATCGTTAGCTAGTTTGCATCGCTATAACTTGAATGACTGTCAACTGTTGAATGAACGAGTGTCAAGCATGTCAAGTAGCGCTTTGTTTACTTCAAACCGGAAGTCGCGCCCACTTTTGACGCAAGGCCTCATGGGGCGTAGGAAACTTGTGGATAAATTTCGGGTCTGATAGAGAAACTCCTACCAAGGCATCTGCAATAAGATCAGCCACAAAAATAACCCTGTCTACGCCTAAAGATGCGCAGTCGTTAGTAATCCTCACGGTAGTTTTTAACGTCAAAAGAGGGTTAGTGCTGCCGCAAGCTGTTAGTAAATCTGGCCCTAAATATTTTGGACACTAGTGGAAAAAAAGATCATTTGGTAACACTTTACTTGAAGGGGTGTGCATAAGACTAACATGACACCTTCATAACCATGACATATGTTATGAATATGAAGGAAGTTTTATGCATGTTAGCGACAACTGTCGTTAAGTGTCATTCGCTCAGTTATGTCATTTTTAATGCAAATATGACATTGTTTGAGATGTCTTTGTTATGACACCTTGACATAAACCAATACATCATAACCTGTCAGTGTCTTTGTCATGACAGCTTGACATTACTAAGACAACACAACCTGTCATAAACATGACATTAATTATCAAACTTAATAAACCACCTAGCTTTATTGGTTAACATTACATTAAACTGTCAGGTGGTTGGTGTTGATATTGGCTGTCATGAAGCCATTATAAATTTTGAATGCCAAATTCAATGTGTACCACTGTAGTTTAGGTCACGAAAAATATTCATGACACAGTTATAGTGCCTCATGACAGCCAATGTCAAAGCCAACCACATGACAATTTAACTTAATTTTATGTTAAGTTGTCATGACAAAGACATTGACAGGTTATGATGTTATGGTTTATGTCAAGATGTCATAACATGTTAAAGACATCTTAAACAATGTCATATTTGCATTCAAAATGTCATTATTGAGCAAAAGACACTTAAAGACAGTTATCATAAACATGCATAAACCTTCAAATTCAAGACATTTGTCATGTCATGGTTATGAAAGTGTCATGTCAGTCTTATGAACACCCCTTCAAGTAAAGTGTTACTGTTTAGATGACACTTTTCTGAAACAATTCTTTTGATTCTATTAATATTATAATATATTTGCAGTGATTTCCATGTATGGCATTTTTGGATCTTGTTGCATCCCTACCAATAATCTTGAGAGGTCACTCATTTGTAAGCCACTTTGTATTAAAACGTCTTCAAAATGAATGAAAGTAAATATGTGTAAAAATGCAATTCCACTGACCACAGCAATAAACTGGTGGAACTCTGGAGTGAGGTCTGATCCCCTGAGATGAATGTAAGCTCCTTTATTTCCCATCTGGTCACTGAAAGAAAAAGAAGAAGACAGAAAAGAAAAGGTTATGAAGATATACAAACAATTTGTAACTGATGGAAAATGAGTCTGTAGTACGGGGTTCAAACAGGGCCTAAAACTAACTTTTTTCACACCTGCCAATTGCCAGTGACTTGAGAACATTTACCAGCCATAAATATATTTTACCTTCCATTAAACCCTTATTTATCTTTATTAAAGTTATAAAAGTTATTCAGTCAAGAGCCAAGAGTAATTGTTTTTTTTGTTGTTGTTGTGTGATTAGCATTAAAAACACAGAGAGTAGCAGCAATATTAGGCTGCTGTCACTTTAAGAGCAGCACGGTTCCAATATACTGTTACACATGCGTTTAATTTCTCAACTGTGCGCTGAGACACGGATATCTGGGAGTGCGCTTCAGGTGTTTTCACACAGAAAACTTCCTACACAGAGCATCGTCCATTGTTATGCTATATTGTATATGCAATATAGTATTATATGTTATGCAATATTTACACACCTTGGCGAGTGTAAATTTTAGGCCCTTGACCATGACATGTTTGCGTACCAAATGTTTAAAAATAGCATACAGACATTTGGGAGCCCCAACTACCAGAGATGATTATGTCTTTTTATCAGGTGTGTGCACAAACTTAACGCAAAAAAAAAAAACAAAAAAAAAACTGAAACTGAAATTGCTAACACATTCATCCTCAGAGAAAGTGATAAACACTATATTCTTATTCACTATTAGAGCTGATTCTACTCAATTTTGTGAATCTAGTCGTTTAGTCTATATTAAGAGCCAAACCTAGTTCTATTTCTTTTAAGATTGAAAAAAAAGTGCAATTCACGTTTCCATTAAGTTTAACTTTGATTTACCTAAATATTTTCAAAGAGATACTTGTTCTTTATTTTTCTGCACTTTGTGTGCAGAAAATCAGGAGATCAGTAAAATAATATATATTTTATATTTGCATTAATGTGTTTAAAGACTGTAAAGGTCACAGACTGTTTAAAAAGTGCAATCCACTTGTTTACATTTGACTATTACAGTGAATTTAATCTAAACACTGAGTCTGGTAAAGTCTGCACTTTAGTTTGTGTGATTTGTTACTGATTTTCAGATTAATGTTCACACCAGGCTTATTCGTCAGTACTTAATGTTGTCATTATAATTATTACATGTTTACAAGGCTGGAAGTTCAACAAATCAGTCACAATATACTACTATGATTGAAGTAGTTAAATAAAAATATGTTATTCATATTAATTTAATCACCTAATTTCATCATAAAATACAGGCCTGGCATACAGGAAAGCACAGTTTATATTTAATGTATCTAATGTTGGTCTATACAATGACCAATACTAAACAATGATTTATTGCTTATCAAAATAATCGCAATGTTGAAAAAATAAATTAAAACGGAATTAGATTATTTTCCAAAATCGTTCAGCCCTTATTCACATTATTTTACTTTATTCTAATGAAAAAGCTGCAAGTGCTGAATTACTACTTGCCACTTTAGATCTAGACTTGGATCTACCCGTTTTCTGTGTGTGGTATTGTGACACGGCTGCTGTGAGACACTTGTTAAACATTGCAGTAAACTAGATCGTTTTTAGAATATCACTTTAATAAAATCTGGATGATATGTGTTGCAAAATGACATGCAATTAATTTTAAAACATTGTATGGTGAAGAAAAAGGCTATTACTGTAACAACAAATACAGCTCTTTCTGATCATGCTATGATAGCCACTTGACACAACACAATAGTGTTGTCTCAGAGACATGGTACAACTATGATACTCGTGGTAAATCAAACAATGAGACTAACCACGTTGAACTATATAACAATGGTTATTTTTCTGTTGATAAAGGTATCCAAACAGATGCTCATCTGTCTAATAAAACGCATATTAAATCATCTTTGGTGTTTCCAAGGTTTCTACATAAGTCAACCTGGAAATCAAGGGTAATGTAAATATGACGTCTTTGACAGGCAACACCGTTATGAGTCTGGTTAAAATTGTTTGTTTTCTCTAGATTTAAACATTGTTGGAAACATTTAGGACGATGCAAGTACACAAGTCCATAAAATATATACCATTGTATCTTAATCCAAAAATCTTACATATTATGCCTTTAAAATCACAATGCACTAATAAGGGAGAGAGAGACGATCATACCAGTAGTTTGGCGCTGAGAACACAGTTATGCACTTCCCTGAGTGAGTGACCTCGTAACCCTCGGCTTTCACCTCATGACTGCGCACTATGTACTGCAGTTTGTTCTGCTCCAGGAAGCGCTCTGTGACATCAGGCCCAAACTGACAGCTCACACCCCGCTTACTGACGGACCGTCCACTCTGGAAGAGAATGCACATCAGTCAAACATAGGTGAACGTAGGGATCTTGGGTTATCTGAAGGGGGAACAGAAACTAACCTGCGGCTGAGGATCTGACCACAGGAGATCACACATTGGACCTGCACAACAGAGTTACAAATTACATTTTCCAATAAAAACATGCTTAAATGCAACTTTGAGTGTTGTGTGTGATTGGCCAGGCCTTCTGAGTGGTCTAAGTGCAGAATTATGTGGTTGCTACGGTACTCTGGATGGTTGCTAGGGCATCAATATGTGGTTGTTAAAGTGTTTGGGTGGTTGTTGGAAGCTCGCTGTAATAGGCCGTCACAAGAATATTGTCTTTTAACTTCAGTTTTTGCGGTAGCTCTATATATCTCTATAGCATCGCTGTCCAGGAGTAATTAACTGGTGAAGTGGATTTACTTATTGTACAGTAAACGAAACTCATCATGAGCATTGCAATGTTTAAAAGCAGAGGTCTTAAAAAATGCTAGTAGACCAGGAAGATTTGAAAATGAGCAGTTCATTCATAAACATGTCAGATCGCAGTGAAAATACAAACTAGAAGACGAAAGACTGAAAAGGGGCGGGGCTACATAAGGTCTATAGAGTGAAATGTAAGTATTTACTCCTAATAACCATTAACAATCAATTTACTACTGGTTTAAAAATACTTTACACTAAGCATAAAAAAACATCACCTAACTATTTTATGAGCTAATTAAACAATAATAATTGTGTTATAATGAATAAAGAACTAAAAGAACTGTATATGGCCAAGTAATATATTACCAATGTAGAGACGACAATATATAAACTATAAATTAACTACTTATTTGTGAGCACTTTATTACCGTATACATATTATAAAATGTCACCAAATATTTAGTAATGTTGAAGTGGCACCAGTGTGACTGCTAAAAGTAAATGTAGTCACGCCGGCAAGAAAAAGTCACAGTCTGGGGCCTTGTGGTGGCTAACTGTGCTTTCACACCAGACGCGAACAGCGCGCCAAATTCGCGCCTACCGCGTCTATACGCTTGAACACTTTGAGTCCATTCGCGTGTCAAAGAGAGAAATTGACGTGTGTAAAAACAAAAGTTTGAAGCAAAATTTACGCGCGCCAGAATCCAAACCCGTTGGCGGCCATCTTTTTTTCTGTCACCACTCTGTATTTGCTCTGGAGAGCAGAACAGCGGCGTGGGGATCATCGTCCGTCGCCGTATTTGTGTCCACCGGACCCTTCAGAGGCGAACCGTTTGGCGAGTTTCACCACTTCCTCGCTCCAGGAGCTGCGCTGAATGACAGCCGCTGTCAGCGGTACTTCCGCCTGTCTCGCGCCCAGTTTGATGACCTGTTGTCCCACATAGGAGCCAGCGAGGATCACCCTTGCCCTCATCCACCTAATCTGTCATTTATGTTTGTTTTGATGATAAACAGAGCCAGCGTCCAAAAGTTATTAACCTGTCATGCGATTTTTTCTCTCTCACGTCCAGACACAAACTTATGCACATGTATGTTGTTGATTGTCTTTACATTACAATAATATTTCATATAATCTAACATTAGATATGTAATAAATAACATTTAATACAAAATGAACATGTCTCGTATATTGAAATAAAGTTAACTGATAAAATATTTGCTTTGTTGTGCATTAAAACCACACCATGCATTGTCATATTACAAAATAATTTATTTAAGCATCCAGATCCTTAAAGCAGAACTTCGGTTCAAAATGAACCTTTGGTCTAATTACACATTGTTACCTAGTCAACCGTTATCTGAGATTTGTTTTCATGATTGCCGAATGTAAATAGTTTTATCTATAAAAACAGTTTAGCCTATAACGCTAGTAAAACGCTAGTAGATAGGGCATAGAGTAATGACAAATAAAAATCGCTTGTTATTTCCACTAACAAGGCTCAAAATAGCCCCATAGTAACACGGTAGCATAATAAGGAAGCATTTAGAACTTTGTCAGTGTCCATACAGTTTAATAAGAAGATTTTTTATACATACAGTCAACTTCGCAAAAACAGGAAGAAGCCATCTTTGAAAATTAGTCTCTACCAGTCGATCTACGAACGCCGATCACCGATTTACAGTCCGCCAGAATAAAATCTTAAATCTGATCACAAGTAATAGCACACCTCTCGGCAACAAGCCACCTGATTTGAGGAATCTTTGAGGTCACAAACAGTGCAGGGCCGTAAAAGCTTTGGCATCAACAACATTATCTTGTGATATCGGACAAGTCTTACCAGAGTCTGGAGGCTGCCTGTTCCTGTCTATCTTTCTAATGTCATCTAAGGTCACGCCATCCTCACTAAACAGTCCGCCATGCATCACCTGAAACACAATGCCACTTGTACTCAAACTCAAAGACAAAAATACGAAGCGTCATAAACCGACTGCAGAATATATACTGAATCTGACGTCCGAATTGTTTCTTACCAGCACTTTGTTATTGATGCACTGGGCGAGAGGAAGCCACTGGAAAACTTCACTGAAAAGCTGGAACATCTGGCCAGTGTACTTTGCTTTCACCTCACCCTCGAACCCATACATCTGATTCATGTTGTCCGTCTCATGGTTACCTTCACAAAACCAAAAGGAAAAATATAACGTTTATCTCTCACACAAACATGTCAAATGTTTTGGGGAATTCTGCTGGTACAATACAAGGAAGCTTTGGTGTGGACTCCTCACCCCGAAGAAGGTGGAAGTGTTCTGGATAGAGCAGCTTGAAGCCAAAAAGTGTGAGAATGACTTCTACAGAGAAAGAGCCACGGTCCACAAAGTCACCATTGAACAGCTGAGATCCTAAAGTCAAGGCTACTGGATCTCAGTGGGGGAAATGTGTATAGCACTTCAGCTCAATTCAACATTACTGTGCAATGCTGCCAAAAATGTACATTGCAAACAGTTCGGCTAAACTAGATTACTAGGAGGAATAAATGTTGACGTTATTATTAATAATAATAACATATACTATGGAACATTGGTTCCTTTCGTCGTCTTGCTGCTGTCAGGGTTTTATAGCAGCCACGTGTTCCTGTCCTTACACTGGGTAAAAGCATAACACATAAAATCATAAAACAATGCAAAGGATAAGCTTGTACTGTGTAGCTTATTCATTTAATTCAAATTAATATAATATTGATTTTTTTTTTTAATGAGAACAGCTCTCACACAATTAAGATTACAAACCCAAAAGGAAAAGGATACATAAGGATTAGTTGGAGATGGTAAGCTGTTCAACTCAAATATATTTAGAAGATCGTAGTACTGGCCATGCGTGTCCCCACAAATAGTCATTTTCTCTGTCTAAACAACAAGACAAGTGAACAGTGAGAAGAAAATCAGTTAGATATCAAAGGGAAAGACAAAAACATAAAGACTGCATTCAAGCAGAATGCTCATCCTATTCTCTTACCTCTTTTAACGAAACTTCAACAAGACTAGGAAGTTTGGATAACAGTTCTTTAACTTGAATCAGCATCTGAAACGCAGACAGGTTTATTATGATCATGGGTCAATGACGTGACTGTTTTGTAGGATCTATTTGATGTGTTCATAAATACATTACAAATGCAATTTAGAAAAGACAATAACTTTAACACACACCTTCCATGAATGTGGAATGCCTGAAATTTGTTCAACTGATAATCATGTTTCTCATTTGAGAAATTTATTTTTACATTTCATCAGAATTATTGCACTAGATGCACAAATTGACCAGATTTTGACCAGACTATTTATATAGAGACAAGCCGCTCCATTTTGCAAGATGTAAACAACACTGGTCCAGAAACACTTCCTGTTTCAGTTTGTAACTGTTTTCTTTATTTCACATGTAAAGAAAACATCTTAAAGATGTTTGTTTAACTTTTTGATTCAGTTTTATATGTTCTGTTGGTTGTATTTTATCCCAGCTTTTACATAGTGTTAAAAAACTGAAACAGGAAGTGCTTCTGGACCAGCGTTGTTTACATCTTGCAAAATGGACCCAAAGATGGCGGTTCTATGCACATGCCCCTCCCCTCCCGCTGGAAAACCAATCGTCTGCTTTTAACAGTCAAGCCGGGAAACATTTAAGCCAACTGACGCATGCGCACAGTTGAGGTGACAACGAAAACATGTTACTGTTTGAAAAGGCGGCAGATTTGATGTGTTAGTTGTGTAGATATCAGACATCCCAAGTCTCCCGGAAGTTCCAGGACCGCAAATTAGTTCAAATCTCCCGGAATCTAGAGCGAGTGAGCAGTAGCGCGCACACGAAAGAGAGCGAGAGAACCCTTGCGCATGCGCAGTAAAAGTATAACCTGTGGGGAAAAAGGCGTTTTAAACCTTATTTTGGGGCAAAGTCATCAAACTTTTTCAGCAATTTTTATCCTATTTTATTAATGTTTCTATACAAGCAGTTTGTATGTCCTGGTGACCAGTAAAAGTGCAGTTCTGAGTCTCTGCCTATTCGTTTAGATAGGAGCCTGGGTCTTGTTAGTCCGAAATAGCTGCCCGGAGGCGCTGCAAAGATGGCAGCCGAGTGGCATGAAAGGAAGGCCTAAAAGGACTTTGTTTTGACTCATTCAGTTTCCTGATTTATTATGTTTACTGTATGACATAAATTAACACATTCTCTAAATTGTGTTGCTTTTTTCTATAAAAAAAGAGACAACATATTGTAGCAGAGAAGTTGCATAAGCACAATCGTAAAGCAATTAGTAGCCCTGAAGCATTCATACCCCTTCATTTTTGTTCACATTTTTTTTTTGTATTGCAATCTTGTGTTAAACTGTTTTCATTTTTTCAAATTTCAAAACCCCTAATGGCAAAGCAAAGATTTGTGACAACTTTGCAAAATTATTAAAAATGAAAAACTGAAATAATTACAGCACCTTTACAGACACACATCTTTGATGGACATCTACATTTGGGGATTTTCTACCATTCTTCTCCTCAGATCCTCTTAAAGGAGTACTTTACTTCAGAATTAAAATTGATAATTTACTCACCCCCGCCCTACATCATCCAAGATGTTCATGTCTTTCTTTTAAAAGAAATGCAAGGTTTGTGAGGAAAATTTTTTGTGAGGATTTTTTTCCATATAGTGACTTCAATGGGGTCCAACGGTCTGAAGGTCCAGATGAGAGATTCAGCGCAGCTTCAAAGTCTCTACAAAATCCCAGCCGAGGAATAAGAGACTTACCAAGCGAAAACATTGATCGTTTTTAAAAAAAAATATTTGTGGTTAAAAAGTATATAAAGTTTATTTATTTGATAAAATAACCTAAAATTACCTATTCCTCGGATGGGATCGTGCAGAGACTTTGTAGCTGCACTGAAACTCACATTTGGACCTTCAACCATTTGGACCCCATTGTAGTCACTATATGGAGAACAATCCTAGAGTGTTTTCCACAAAAACCTTGCTTTCTTTTTGACTGAAGAAAGAAGGATAGACATTAACATCTCAGATGATGGCATTATTCTGAAGTGAACAATCAGAGTGTTCATAAAAAACACTCTTGCATTGTCTTAAGGCCCAGGTGTACTTCATTTTCAGCACTCTGCTCCATCTCACGCAAAAGCCTCTCAAAGTATTTCTTACTAGAACGTCTTTCCGTGAGCCCGGAAAGATGTTCTAGTAAAAAGACTTAGTGGACTTTGTTTTCAAGCACTCAAGTCACTCGCACATGTGCTGTTGTACGCACACCGTCTACGTGGTCACCAAAATGACGTGTGCTTAGGGTCACTGTCCGAGGTTCTGAATGATCTGAACCAGATTTTCATTAATATCTCTATATTATGCTGCGTTGAGCTTTCCTTCTATCTCAAAAACGCTTTCAGTAAAGATCCTCAGATCCCACAAAGCAGAACCATAAGATTTGTTGATGCTGCTTTTAGCCACTATACACCTCTCCGCTGGAACAACAGACTCTCTTTCTCTTTCTGTCTTTTTAAAACTGAACCCTCAAACCTTCTGATTGTATTATTTAGGGCTGTACTAAACCAAAGAAAATCTTGGTCGACTGAAGTCTGAAATTTTCAACAAAAAAATCGACTAAAAATGACGTTAGAAAAAGAAACTTTAAATGAATTAGCTGCACACAGTGCACATTACTTGGTAGCCTTGTTGTCCACCTAAATGAATCATAAATAATATGAAGAGATGCAAAAGCCTCTAAATGCCATTTGAAATTTTCTTCTAAAATGACAATTTTTATCAAGCTTGTATATTTAAGTTCAGTAATTTCACTTAAATGACAATTAATAGGTAATCTTCATTGCCATTTAAGTGAAATTACTGAACAGGATCACAAAGAACAAAACAAAACAAAACAACAGACATTCCAACTCAGATCGCAGATTTCAAAGTAGCATTGTTTTTCTGAGGAACAAGTATGTCAACTTAGCATTTTTCCAAACTACCTGCAAACATAATATGGTACTTAAATATGCTTTAGTACAGTCCAAAAAAAATACATGCAGCACCTTTAAACTTTTCTTCTGTTATCTTTATTTTTAAGGCTTATATTGTTAATTTCCAGAGATATACGGCTTTCAATCTCACTCCATGAGTAAATTGTACAAATTTTAAGTGGTCAAATCATATGCGGGTCAGCATAAAGCTGATCTTTTTTTCTTTTAAAGAAGAGTGTCTGATTAAAAAAATATGTTATTACCCTTTTAGATTTTGGTTCTTAAAAAAACTTCTCTTTTGGAATCTTCTTCATTTTAAAGGCCCTACATGGTTCAATCCTAGAGATATGTGGATGCCCAATGTGACTGTTCAAAATGTTGAATTTTACCCAAAATAAATAATAGATGAATAGATATTTCAAAATCTATGTATATGCGTGTACTTGAAGAGCATTCACCTGGTAAGCAAACTTTCTGTGCAGTTTCTTCTGGTCTTTGAACCAGTCCATTAACTCTTTCATGAACTTCAGTGTAACTTTCCCATCTTCAAGTTTAGGTCCAGAATAGTCATCCTCGATTGCTGGTGGGAGAGAATAAAAAAAGGTTTGAATCAGACAATAGCTAACAGTATTATTAGAATTTTTAAAAATAATGTAACTCAATGAAATCAACTTTTCCATGAGAATAACATGGGTATTTCCACCCCCAGAAGATATATTTTTTTGTATGACTAACATTCACTTTTGCCATTCACTTGTTGTGTGACACAATTAAGTACGGAGTAACAATAATTAACAAAAATGACGTACTATAGGGCTGAGGTTGTTTCTTTGTAATTACGCACAATTTACTGTTATTACTATAGTTCGTACATGTAATGTGTAACAAGGACAATATAAAATAAAGTGATACCAAAAAATGTAATAAATCCGTAAACACTTACTCATGTTCTCGATGTCTAAGGAGTCGACTACTGATCGTTTGAGCTCGTCGCTGGCGATGGCCCGTTCAAAGGCCTTCTGTTTGACAACCTTATTGCATTCCTGGTACTTCATCTTGGCATCTTTGTCATTGGGACGAACTCTAACTACCTGAAAATGACAATGGCATGAAAAACTTTTACAAAAATTTCCAGCAAGGCACTATTCAAAAGTATCATTTCACACTAATACGTACATACAGTGCATCCGGAAAGTATTCACAGCGCTTCACTTTTTCCACACTTTCTTGTTACAGCCTTTTTCCAAAATGGATTCAATATATTATTTTCCACAAAATTCTACAAACAATACCTCATAATGATAACGTGAAAGAAGTTTGTTTGAAATCTTTGCAAATGTATATATAAAAAAAAAAAATTTAAATCACATGTACGTAAGTATTCACAGCCTTTGCCATGACACTTCGATGATTTGGAAAGGCCCTGATTGCACTCGCAATAGACAGCAGGCTCACTCTCGCTCGTATCCAAGGTAAATCTTCAACATGTCTATTTTATTGATTTATTGAGCATCGTTTAAACGCCACTGTATTGTTGCTGATAATGTCCTTTCTGATGGCCTCTTCCAGCAGGGTAACGTGGGCATGTTACAAAGCTCAAAACAACGGGTTTCTTGAACATAACAGTGAGTTCCCTAAACTCAAATGGCCTTCACAGTCACCAGATCTCAATCCAATAGAGCAGCTTGGGGATGTGCTGGAACGAGAGATTCTCATCATGGATGTGCAGACGACAAATCTGCAGCAACTGCATGATGATATCATGTCAATATGAACCAAAATCTCTAAGGAATGTTTCCAGCACTTTGTCGAATCTCTCCCATTATGAATTCTGAAAGTTCTGAAGGCACATGCGGGACTAACCCGGTACTAGCGAGGTGTACCAAATAAAGTGCCCGGTGAGTTTATAAATTTCGTATATGAAACGACAGGTCAACGAGACATTCATTCAGCACAGATATGTTTTCCTCCCAAAATTAACCTAGCACATAATAATCAAGAGCTAATATTGAGCTATCACATCCAACCAAAAATCAGAAGTAAAACAAGAAACTGTATTTTACATAGGGTTGTAACGGTATGAAATTTTCACGGTATGATAATCGTCTCCGAAAATATCACGGTTTCACGGTATACGATATTAAACTATCATTATTATTATAATCATCATCATCAGCTACAATGAACCTTAAATGAATAAAAAAAAGATAAGTTTTTTGGTTGAACATGGTTTATTGTAACAAACTTTTTTTATGAAAATAAGAAAACTTTATGGAAGTATGAATCTTTATGAAATGTATATTTATTTCCTCAGAAATTCTGGGTTGTCTGATATAACTGCTCTGGATTCTGTGATTGAATACAAAATGTATTTTTGAAAATGCAATCAGATAAAATGTAACAACTTTTGTTTATCTACACAAGAGAGGTTTACTAAATTAAAACATGGACAAAAAAAAAACTATAAACAATAGTAATATATTTTAGTCATTATTTCTTCAGGCTAAACCAAACTTTTTTTACAGGTTGTACTGAACACCTATGAGTTTCAGTCAGTGTATTTGATGATTATTCTTTTAAAAAACAATTATAAAATCTTCTTCTTTTCTAAAAAATTTTCTGTTTTGAAATTTTAAAAATCACAGCTTCATCGGAATGTTACGAAACTTGATGACTTTTATGGTATTGGGTATGTGAACAAAAAAAAATTTTGAGGTCATGATCCGAGCAGGCTAAGTGGTCGTAAAAAAAATAGTCACACTTGTGGACTTCGGTCAAAAATGACCGACCATAGGAAATGAATGGGAAATTGACAAAAACACAAAAACTTTGAGAATTTTTGTGTGTACAATCTACAAATCGGCCACGATGCAGAAAAAAAGTGCTCAGCATTGAAGGGGTGACACTCTAAAATATCAAGAGTGCAAAACAGACATACCCACCCCTACACACACACACACACTTTTATACACAAAAACACCAATAAATTGTGATTAAAGAAATCTGTTTTGAATATTTAAAAATCACAGCTTCTTCCGAAAATTACGAAACTTGGTGACTTTTATGGCATTGGGTATGTGAGAACACACAAAAAATAATTGAGGTCATGATTCGAGCAATTTAAGTGGTCGTAAAAAATGAGTCACACTTTTGCTCTTCTGTCAAAAATGACCGACCCATAGGAAATGAATGGGAAATTGACTAAAAAAAAAAAAAATCTCTGATATTTTGTATGTACAATCGACAAATCGGCCACAATTCTAAAAAAAAAAAGTACACCGCAGGAAAGGAATGACACTCTACAACATCTAGAGTGCAAAACAGACACACCCACCAACACACACACACATACAAACACACTTATATACACATACACACCAATACATTTTGATTACAAAAAGTATGTTTTGAATTTTTAAAAATCACAGCTTCATCGCAATGTTACGAAACTTTGTGACTTTTATGGGATTATGTATGTGAACACACAAAAAAATTGAGGTCATGATCTGAGCATGCTAAGTGGTCTTAAAAAAATAGTCACACTTGTGGTCTTTGGTCAAAAATGACCCCCATAGGAAATGAATGGGAAACTGTAAAAAAAATTGTGAATTTTTGTTTGTCAATTTTTTTTAATAAGAAATAGTTTTTGAGATTGTTTCAACTATATATTCAAATCCACCAACAACAAAAAATGTGTTCATAAACAGCTGGGGAATTCATATGCCTTTCCATGGAGAGCTGTACATGCCATCTAGTGGTTACACCATGATTCTATGATTTTTCTCTATACTGTAACCAGGTGGTGCTAATTTTCTTCAAAAAATATTTTTTTATGAAGGCCTAGACTCTATATTAAACTAAAATACTGCATTAATATTTTTTGAACAAAAATAATATATAAATAGAAATATATATATATATATTTTCCATGGCAAAAATAAACCATAAATATTGCATAAATATTAATAAATTCAATTAAATTGTCTCAAAATACTAAATTAAAAAGAATAAATATTATAGAACAAAAATAAATTGCATTGGTTTTACTGGGATGGAGAAAGTTTCATTTTTAGGTGTCCGGTCACTTTTGACCGTGAAGATAACAAGTGTGACTCCGAAACTAAGAGCACCTGAGGGTTAAGTGTTCTCTGTCTGGATATGTTCATGTGTTCACGTCTTCACATAGTGGGTGAGACAGTAGATGCTTTAAAAACTATGAGCATCATGCGTACTTGAGTGTGTACTAGATCTACTAGACGAAACGGCATTGCTCATTCATACAGAGACACGCTGAATATAGAATTAAGGGAGTCGCACAGCAGTCTTTTTGCGCTGTATATTCACAGACACGCACGTCGCGATTTGATTTACTGCACAGCTATATTTTGATTTATTCATCCATCTAGTGTCTATCAAATCGCACATTTCATGCGGCATCTGTATTGTAATGCAAAAAGACTGGTCTGCGTCTTTTTGACAGACCGGGATTCCCTCAGCATATCTTCACGGAGGGACGAATATGGGAGAACATGTTAGATGTGTTTCCTCCTTTTGCCGCCACTCTTCGTCCACATATCTTGCAAACTGGATATCCATCTTCAAGGACAACACCGATCGTTTTTCGGATATCCAAAATATTCCCATACTGCAGATTTAAACTCTTTTTTTTCGGCAGGAGATTCGCAACCTCTGTCTCAGACATTTTCAGCACTGTACAGGTATGGGTGGAGTCTAAGCAGTCAAGATGAAAGAAGTTGCTTGCGGCAGTGCAGGTGAATTCTGGTTTAATTATTTTTTTTAAACCGCGTACTGATAATCGTACATGTCAATATCGCAATAAACCGCCATACCGGTATACCGTTACAACCCTAATTTTACATAAGTCACGCTTCATAGAATATAGATGGTTTCAAAACGAGAAAATAAAGAGTCTTACCGTTTCGTAGTCTTTGAGCGCTGCTTTAAACTTGCCCAGGGCCATGTTGGAGGTGGCTCGCCGATAATAGCCCTTGATGTAGTTCTTGTCCAGCTCCAGGGCTCGGGTGGCATCCGCCAGCGCGTAGCCATAACACTCTGTGCGCAGGTACGCCAGACTCCTGTTACTGTAGTAGACGGCATTGGTCGGGTTTAGCTCCACTGCTTCTGTGTAATACTTGATGGCGTTCTCATAGTCCTTATCTGAAATAAGAGCATTAGACCATTAAAGTAGTTCACTTTTGAAAAAACTTTCGCTGATAATTTACTCACCTCCATGTTATCCAAGATGTCCATGTCTTTCTTTATTCAGTTGAAAAGAAATGAAGGTTTTTGATGAAAAAATTCCAGCATTTTTCTCCATATGATGGACTTCAATGGGAACCAAAGGTTCAAGGTCCAAAACACAGTTTCAGTGCAAACTGCAAACTGTTCAAAGGGCTTTAAACGACACCAGACGATGAATAAGGGTCTTATCAAGCGAAACGATCGCTCATTTTAAAAATAAATAACAAAGTTTAAGTTTTATAAGCTCAAATGCTCGCCTTGCTCTGTTCTGTGATGCACGTACGTGACTCTCCTGTTTGAACTCGTTCGTAAAAATGAACAAATCTTTTTTGAACGAGTCATTTGGTTCATTCAACGAACGAAACGAACGTATTGACTCGGAAAAAGATTCGTTCATTTTGATGAACGAGTTCGAACAGGAGAGTCACGAACGTGCATCACAGAACAGAGCAAGGCGAGCATTTGAGCTTATAAAAGTTAAACTTTGTAATTTTTTTTTTTTAAATGAGCGATCGTTTTGCTAGATAAGACCCTTATTCATTGTCTGGTGTCATTCCCAAGTCCATTATATGGAGAAAAATGCTGGAATGTTTTCATCAAAAACCTTAATTTCTTTTCAAATGAAGAAAGAAAGACATGGATATCTTGGATGACATGGGGTTGAGTAAATTATCAGCAAAAGTTTTTTGAAAAGTGAATTACTCCATTAATGCTGCCATGACACAGAATGGATCCCTCTCTAAAATATGTGAGATAATCAATGGACTTGTGGATTATCTATGTTACATAAGATTGTGAACCAAGGCAAGTATCACTCAATTATGAAAATCTTTTGTCATCATACACTCACCCTCATGTCGCTCAAGACTCATACAACTTTTGTTTATCTTCCAAACACAATAGTCGCAAAATGGCAGCGGATGAGTTTGTTTGAAACGAGAGTGAGTGAGTCCGGATAACCGGATGATATAGGCCTGATTAAATAACAGTACACAAAATATTGATTTTACTGGGTTTTAATATTTTATTAGCTCACCAAACGCAAGACTTTCAAGAGGAAAAACGTTCCTAGCAATCCTGTAGCACTGAACTCAGTAACAAATGCCCGGATGAGCCCGTGTTATTAGTTTTTACTGGTTGTTATTGGGGAATAACATTTCATTTGATAGTGCGATTGACCAATCAGAATCAAGTATTCCACAGACCGATGTAATAATTAATATTAACGACTTGTTAATTGAACTCTTATATAAAATCGACCGATGTCACATTTGCAATCGTGCTGATAGTAAGAAAACATGCCCTCTTGGTCGTGTGAAGCTGCTTAAAGAGTAACTAAACCCCTGGTCAGAGCCTGACTCCACCCACTAGCAATATTTGAAAAATGCTGAAAAAATGGGCAGACCCCAGCGGGGCCAGGGGGCGTTATTTAGATTATAGATTTATAATCTAAATAATCTAAATAACTATATAAATGCTATGCTAACTAGATGCTAATATATGCTATCCTGATCGTTTTCAATACTCATAAATCCAACTCCTGACTCGCTACAGTAGTTTTGACGGAACCAGATGCTTTTATACCAGGGGCTGCCAAGGGCGTGGTGAGCTCGCACCAAGGGCGTGACAGAGTGGCGTCTGAGAGTTCCCTACGTCAGAAAGTACCCCTACTGCAGAAGCTTTCCGTTTAACCTGAAGAGGGCAGCACTCAGACGTTTTTACACCATATATTTGAAAATCAAAACACTTTATACTCAATTGTCAAAAAAATGTACTCGAATCAATGAACAGCATTTATGAAGCTCCATTCTTACAGATCATTAACTAAAAAAAGTTGTTTTGGTGTTTAGTTACCCTTTACGTATATCATCTAAAAATAAAACATTTTTTGCCACAGTATGTTTCTATGTGAGTTTCTTTGTGTTTGAACTGAAAAGCACGTATAAGTTTGATGTGCTCTACATGTATGCATGGATCAATTATCTAAAAGTGATTAAAGCCTAAATTTAAACTGTTCATCCAATAAAGCAATTATGTCTTGACTTGGAATAAACTGCTTGTTCATATGGATCATCTTAATAAAGTAATATCAAAGCTGCAGCCTGTAGTTTTTCCTCTTTGTCGCCATCTCTGCTTGAAATCTGCTATTGCAGTCATTCGCGGAATTATCAACTTTACGTGGGTTGTGCCTCGACGAGGCAGAGCGCAGATGATGAACACAATGTTTTGAGGAGAATGTGTGGCTGTCAGTCAGCAGTTTTGCATTTTTCAATGGGTGAATTTGTTGTCACTGGTGATTGTTGTTTGAACCTTTCTAGATACGCCATCAAATTCATAAGTTTAATTATATCAAGTGCTGTGAGAAAAGGCTATAAATTTCCACCTCCAACATCCTCACACTCATAGCCTTCTAGCCGAGATTCTACATTATGTGTACAGATGTATGTGTCCAGATGTGCGAGTACACATGTGTGAGTACAGCTGTGTGTGTACAGAAGTAGGCTCATTTTACAACTCCCTCAGAGTTTAACAGTTGAGTTTTACCGTTTTCAAATCCATTCAGCCGATTTTCTGATATTTAGAAGAATTTGAGTAACCAAACAGTTTCTGGTCCCATTGACTTCCATAGCAAGAAAAATATACTATAGAAGTCAATGAGACCAGAAACTGTCTGGTTACTGATATTCTTCTAAATATCAGAAAATCGGCTGAATGGATTCGAAAACGGTAAAACTCAACTGTTTAACTCTGAGGGAATTGTAAAATGACCCTATTTCCAAAAAAAGTGGAGTATCCCTTTAAAACCATTCTTACAAGCTTACCGTTTTTGAATCAAATTAAGGCAAGCAAAGAGTTTTGAACACTGGCTAATTATGTACTTGCTCAAATTATTTTGGATCATTTTTAACAGCAAAACAGCAGTTACAGACTGGAGCTTTAAAGGGTTAGTTCACCCAAAAATTAAAATTAAGTCATTAATTACTCACCCCCATGCTGTACCAACCCCGTAAGACCTTCGTTCATCTTCGGAACACAAATAAAGATATTTTTGATTAAATTTGAGAGCTGGATCGCCCCTCCATAGGCTTCCTAAGGGACTAGCACTTGACGGCCCATAAAGTTATTAAAGAAAATGTTTAAATATTCAATGTGCCTACAGCGGCTCAATTATAAATTCATCAAGCGACGAGAATATTTTTTGTGCGAAAAAAAAACATAAATAACGACTTTATTCGACTATTCCATTACTTCCTTATGGGCCTTGAGACGAGAATTGAAGAGATTTCCAGAACGCATGCGCGAGAACTGAGACGAGGACGTTCTTCTTCGACTACTTCTTGTTACCGGCTGCTCACCGCTTAGGAGTATTAACGCCCTCTACCGTATATGATGATGATCCATATACAAGGCGCTCCGGATTGTAAGGCGCACAGCACTGTCGTATTTGAGAAGAAAAGGCTTTTAAGTGCGCCTTATAGTGTGGAAAATACGGTAATTGAAACGTACAGCGCACGTCTTCCTCTGCTTGTAAACAGAAAGTTTTGCGCTTCCAGCTATATCAGCACGTCATCTTATATGGTAGGGGGCGGTAATACTAGCCACTCGCGGGTGAGCAGCCGGTAACATAAAGTAGTCGAAGAAGAACGTCCTCCTCTCAGTACTCGCGCATGCGTTCTGGAAATCTCTTCAATTCTCGTCTCAAGGCCCATAAGGAAGTAATGGAATAGTCGAATAAAGTCGTTATGTTTTTTTTTGCATAAAAAGTAGTCTCGTCGCTTGATAAACTTATAAATGAGCCGCTGTAGGCACATGGAATATTTAAACATTTTCTTTAATGACTTTATGGGCCGTCAAGTGCTAGTCCCTTAGGAAGCCTATGGAGGGGTGATCCAGCTCTCAAATTTAATAAAAAATATCTTCATTTGTGTTCCGAAGATGATTGAAGGTCTTACGGGGTTGGTATAGCATGGGGGTGAGTAATTAATGACTTCATTTTCATTTTTGGGTGAACTAACCCTTTAACTATTTGAATCCTGAACGCTTTTGTTACAATGTAGGCAGGGCTGAACTGGCCATCGGCCATTTTCCCGGTGGGCCGATACATCTCATATTTTATTTATTTATTTTTGTCTGAACATACAATAAAACTCACATCGGCACAGCATTGGGTTTTTTTTTTTCCTTTCTCACAGACCGGCACATGAAATGTGTAGATCAGCGGCCCATTGGTTATTTTCTTAAATGACACTGGGCTGGTCCAATCCACTGATCTATATAATGACTGGATAGCTCATGCCATTCTAAACGTGCCGTAGCTCCGACGGCCGTTATACAGAGATTGGTAGCTCCGACGGCACTTTTAAGATGACCCACTGTGCATCAACAAGTGTAAAACGAAGTTCACAAAAGGATATAGAAACGCACCGCGTTGATGCATTGACTAGAGTGGGCGCGATCAGCGTGTCGCAACCATAATGCGCCGCAGACGTGTGCAGTGTAAATGAGTAAATAAGAGTTGAAACAGGCGTACATTAACCTATACAATTTGTATATGCATTTTCTGAACATGTTTTTGCTAACTAATGAAACACTTGAACAGACTACTGATCTATCTGTAAAACACAATCCGAAAGAGCTATATTTTAAGTTCACATACATATACTTAATTTTTAATAAGCAGGAGTAATATCCGACTTTAAACAAATACCCATTTAAATGTTTAGGATGTTTGCGTTGCAAGACTGTTCATGTAATTGATACAATCGAATCGTTATTTGTAGTGTCATGTTACATTCAAAAAATTGATTTACTCTGTATTGATTAGTACGGTATTGTATTGTTTATATCAGAAATATAAACTTAAATTTTATCCCAGTATTCCTGTGATATGAATATTTTTAACACAGAAATAATGATACTGTGTGGTTGAAAATACTCTCTCTGGGTCAGCATCCGCACCAATGCAGATGTTAATATTCGGCAGTGATTTTATTAAATGTCGAATAGACATGTTTAATAGGTGAATCACATGGGTGTTTGAATCGAGATCACAATCTTTTAACAATTAATCATGCAGATCTATTAAACACAGCGTATTAGGGCTGTCACAATACTTCGATTAAATTGTCAACTAATCAACAAAGAACCAGAAGAGAATGAATTAACCACATTATTAGACCATTTTCTAAGGATGTGTGATGTACTAAAAACATTTATAAACCATACAACAGCATTGTGCTATTGTTACAGTTTTGTTCAATCCCTAACAAGCGCTTACCCATACTTCAGATACTTTTTCTAAACTCTTAACACAGACCCACACCTACAAAACACAATTGGCCAAATGGATAATTTTCTTCTCAAAAACACATTTTGTTAAATATATGCACTAACTCTTCATTTCAAAATAGAACACATCTTTCTCTGCACACACTAACGTTACCAAAACACTGGACATCTTACTCAAAATGATGAATTATTCTGTCAAAGAATAACACTTGTTTTCACTTCACAGGGTACATGCAGTCAATCAAAGTACACCAGGTTTCAAAATACTGGCTATTGTTGACAATACAAAAACTGCATAGACTTTGATGTTTCAGTTTTACAGGTATTTGCATGAAAAATATGCAATTTTTTACCTTTTTTACACTACATTTGTTGGTTGGGAACTGTCCACATGTACAGTAATGTTCACATTCAAAAGCATTCCAGTAAAAAACAATTTTTTTTCACCTCCCACTGCACCTCTCCCTGCATCTCTCACTGCACCTCTCATTGCATCTCACACTGCACCTCTCCCTGCACTTCTCACTGCATCTCTCCCTGCACCTCTCACTGTATCTCTCACTGCTCACTACACCACTCCCTGCATCTCTCACTGCATCTCTCAATAATCCTGCATCTCTCACTGGTCACTACACCACTCCCTGCATCTCTCAATACTCCTGCATCTCTCACTGCATCTCTCACTGCATCTCTCAATACTCCTGCATCTCTCACTGCATCTCTCACTGCATCTCTCACTGCATCTCTCACTGCATCTCTCACTGCACTTCTCACTGCTCACTACACCACTTCCTGTATCTCTCACTGCATCTCTCAATATTCCTGCATCTCTCACTGCATCTCTCACTACACCTCTCACTGTATCTTTCACTGCTCACTACACCACTCCCTGCATCTCTCACTGCATCACTCAATACTCCTGCATCTCTCACTGCACCTCTCACTGCATCTCTCACTGCACTTCTCACTGCATCTCTCACTGGTCACTACACCACTCCCTGCATCTCTCAATACTCCTGCATCTCTCACTGCATCTCTCAATACTCCTGCATCTCTCACTGCATCTCTAAATGCTCCTGCATCTCTCACTACACCTCTCACTGCTCCTGCATCTCTCACTACACCTCTCACTGGGCCTGCTCTTCTCCCTGGGCTCTTACTCTCCTCGTCCAGACATTACAGTGTTTGTCTTTTTCTGTTTCCAAAAACATTACTCTTTACTGTAAAGTCCTCCTTTTGTAATGTAATAGAAAAAAAAAAAACCCTGCCACTGAGTCTAAGCCAGACTGAAAACAGCTGTGGTTGGCCCAATTTACCCGACATAAATAAGCTGTGGGTCAATTACAGTATTCAATTGTTTAGTTTATTATCAGCTGAGATATATTGTTTTTGAACTGATATCATTGCAGAAGCAGAGGTTTTTATACTATATTTAAGGTTTGGAATATTGTTTTTGCTATTTTGGGATGGTGTGTGTTAACATTTGTAAATACTACAAAAACAATCCATAATTTTGTTGGGAGGTATAGCTTATCTGTTAAGAAAATGTAAGCATTGTGGAAATGTGTTCACTGACTGCATATTGTGTGAAAACAACATGAAATGCGTGAATGGTATGGCCACAAAAGATCGATGCTGTGCTAATTGTGTTTAGAGTTCTGAAAATGTGACAACTGTTTGGACAAATGCTTGTTAGTGACTGAAAAAAAAATGTAATTGACAAATGCACCGATTCAATTAAACAAATATATGCCCTGCGGGTTTAAAATATATATATGCGCTTTAATTGCATACTTCTCTACATTAACTGTTAGTATTTACATGCATGAAGCGTGTCTCAAACTCCATATGCTGTGAGTTTGGGTTGCTAATAATGTTCATCTTGGAATGCAGTGTGTGCCATTACATTAGATTTGTAAGGTAAATAATTTATAAACCTATGCCAACTACATCAACAAGTTTCTAAGTATGCAAATTGTTCATCGTGACTTCAAAATAAAGCTTTTAAACCCTCACTCTGAGTTTGCATGCTTTAATGTCCACATGTTCTTGTTCAAGAAATAACAGTGGCTATAAAACTTCTATGCTAAAGAAGTGGCCAAATATTAAAGATTAAGTTAACATTTTAATGAACAACAATCAGCAGGATGTTGGCGCCCTCTGCAGGCATTTGTTATAATATATAACATACATAAGATGATTGCTTATATTATGTATATTATGTATTTTATTTAACAGTATTATTCTAATAAAACCATGCCTTCTTGCTTTTGATAATTCAAAGCAAAAATTATTGCCTTATTGTCATACATGTATTTTAAATCATTTTAAATGCAATTTTTTGCTAAGGTCCGTTTTATTACGACAAAAAATTGTCAATTGTACAACTAATCTAGTGACTAATCTAGTTTAATGGAACACTAGATTAAATTCAAAATATGCCAATATTATTACCTATATTATTAGTGAGACTCCAAATATAAAAACAGAAATGTCATCCACAACAAAAAATTAAGAAATTTTAATGTATTAAAAAATAGCGGGATCACAAAACAAAGCAAGGAATAAATAAAGTGTTGAATAAATAAGGAAATAAAATATACAAAGTGGTGTTATAAATGATTAATCAATAAATGAATCTAATAAAATAATTAAAGATAAATTGTGTGAAAATGGAATATATATTCCACGGTTTTAATTTAACACATTTTCAAATGCTAGATAGAACCACAGTTGAACTAAAGATTAATGTTCTTCGGAAACACGTATACGATTGTTTAATAAATCTATTGAACAAAATGATGCTGTTTTTTCCGGATTATATTATATGACGACTGCAGGCAAATCTATGACATCAATGAATGAGTGACAGATGACTCCATTGGCTAACGAGAGTGTCAAACTGGTGCAATAATTTCACTTCATTATAATATTTATTTGCTGTTATCAGAGCATTTTCATTGTATACACTTCAGAGTGAAACAGCATTATGAACATCTAGCTTGACAGTTCATAGCAGGACTCAACGAAAGCATCTATTTTCTATGTTAATCTCACCTCGTCATCGACATATGTTGATTAAATAAATCATAATTATGATTACATAACAGTTAAGTCTGATGAGTGAGTGTTTCATGTGTCTGCCTGATTCATCATGTGTTGCTCATGCTCATCTCACACATTTCCCTACTATTAATCACATCAGCCCTTATAAAACCGCAAACTGCACCAACACAGCCCTATCTAGTCAATAGGAATCCAGTCTCTTATTTACAGTGGGTACCTAATGAGCTTTTACCTTTAAAATAGTTATTCGCCTTCTCCTTGAGTTTCTCTGCACTGGAATTCTGCTCCTCTTCCGCCATCTTCTCACTGCCGTATTCCGCCATGCTGCCATGAGAATGCGAAGAGCTGTCGCAAAAATTGCAAAAGGGTCGTAAAGCACTGTTCGTCTAGAACAGTCTCCAGAGCAACAACATGAGCTTGATTTGAACTTATTGCAGTTATTGCCAAATTTTGTGAATAGGCTATATGCACGCATAAATTCCATATTTGACGCAAGGCTGCTCTTCAGTTTCCGGTTGGGGAGATTTAAAGCTGAGGAAAACGGGATTATGGCAGAGTCTTCAAAATGAAAATGCACTGTCCTCCCGTCTTTGAAACGAAACTGTAATGTAATTTTATATAGTTATGTTTATTTAACATAATAAACAAAGAAGCAAAAACAAAATGATGGGTGTCTGTTTTGTTTGTTTTTGCGACTAACGTTTCTTTAATATAACCATGGAGTATAACATTCATCCAATATTCTGCATGCACTACGATCGGCGGAAGTAAACCTTTTTTTTTTTTTTTTTGGAAGTAGACCTTCACCGGAAATACCGCCGTGCAGATCTGTCTATGGGTGCAGATAGAGCCCATAAATAAATAAATACTATCAAAATACAAAATAATTACAAAATAAAACAAGGCGTCATTAAATGCATTAATAAAAGGATAATACACCTCTTATTAAAAACTGTTCGTTTGATCTCAGCGAAGAATATAAAGGTAAGTTTGGTTATAGCTATGTGATGTCTTTGCCAATAGTAGACATGTGTAATGTTTTGACTATGCCTGTAGAGGGCACAACAGCTTTATTGTACATGTTTGTGTGGGTCATGTCTCGTGTTTCATATTATTTACTTTTTATTTTAATGAATATATATATATATATATATATACATTTTAATATTATATATATATAAAAAAAATAAAAAACAAATATATATATATATATATATATATATATATATATATTTATAAATAAATATATATATATATATATATATATATATATATATAATTTATAAACATTTCGTTTTGTGTTAAATTTAACCTATTTTTCTCCAAGGGATAAAAAGGCCTTTTTCAAGACAAATGTTAGACCATTTGTAAAAATACGTTTTCTGAGTGAATACTCTTACTGGAGTAATTTTTTTAAAAGGGTATCTGTACTTAAATTGTGTAGGAACATACTACTGAACAAACTACTGACTTCTTCCACCACTTAAAATAAATCATACCTTCTTCAGAATTTGTTTTCAATTTCTGTAGGGTCTTTATTGTATTTGATGGGTCTGTATATGGTTTGATATGGTATTATCAATGTTTGGCTATTGTTTTTGAGTGTTTTATGATATTTTATGATGTATTTGCATCACTTTGATTTTTAAAACGTTTCAACCTTTTTCTATCAAGGTTAAAAACAGACCTGCAACAAAAGACGGGGAACAACAAAATTAGACTTCCCAATTTCACTTCCCAAACTTCAAGCACAGAAACTCTTTAATGACATTAAAGGAATGTATAAACAAACGAACTATCTAAATAACTAAATAAACTGTATACAACGCATCATACCAGACTTTGGGAGGCAGCAAGGCCAAAATAAATATCAAAACAAGGACAATATCAAAACCTGATTCTACCTCTAATTTTGTTGTTGTAACCTACTTCAATCAGTTTTATGTAACATAAAGCAAGGGCATGCTGTTTTAACTTAAGTAAGTTACAATGACCCAACATACGATTTCCATTAAAGCATGTTAACACATGCGCACTTGACGGGTGCTATACTCGTGAAGCAGAAACCTTTATGAATCTTTGTTTCGAATCAGTGGTTCAGAGGGTGTTTCAAACTGACACGGTTTTTCAAAGTCGCATGGTTTCAGTATATGAGACTTTGTTATGTCATAACTGTATCAAAACATTTTTCATCTGTAAACCCATGAATCATACAGATTCACTGAGATCATCCTCGCCTGCAAATCATTGAAGAAGTGTCTATATTCACAGAAATCTGAAAAATTTGTCCCTGGAACAGACCTGTTGCTGTCTGCATTTCCACCGCGGCCTAAAGTATTGTGAAGATAATCATAGGCAAATTAGTCCAGTGACGTAGGACTGCGCACACCACAACAGGGTTTTACAAATAGTGGCTGAAATTAAAAACTTTGTAGAGTCAATCAAAATGTGGCATGAACTTAACCAATCAGCATGTTCAGCGCACAAGTCCCACCCACCAAAGTTCCTGAACTTTGAAAAAGTACCTCACAAGCAGGGACTTTCTGAGGGGGACATTTTTACCCAGAACTTCATTCAGATCCAGGTCCCTGCAGCAGTCGAAACACACAGAAGTCCCTATAGTTCCTGTGGGAAGTTCCTGCGCTGGAAATGTGGCTATAGTGTTGCAGGTATGACATCACTTTGTGATGCGAGCCCTTGCATTTTAGCCCTTCCCGTTCCATCATCCCGAAGTTGCGAAGAATTCATGGGTTTTTTGGACAGGGTTTTGGTTCAATGGCTGAAATAAGGTCTGTGGTGAACAAAAGCTCAAGACACTTTCACATTTTTATTCTACGACACAGAATACATCAATAATACACTAGTCGTGATGCTTTGAATCGGTTGTGTGTTTTGAAAAAGGGTTATTTAAGTGGTTAAACGAGACTACAGAGGGTGTTGATGAGATTAAAGGCTAATTCCACCGGTGGAGACATGAATATGTATTGAAAGTGGGTCAAATATGTTGTAGAATAGTATCATAAATTTCTAATTTGGGTTCTTCTTGGCCGATAATAGGCAGAAAATGACTTTTCAGTGCTTATGAATTGTAGACAACAATCCCCATAGTGCATTGCAATGCTCAGCTCCGCAGGCCACTCCCACTACACCGCTCGTCAATGAAGACTAGAGTCAAGTTTTTATTCGGTCTGGTTATTACCGTTACGTCTGGCACCGCGTTTCGGTACCCAACCCTATCCATAATGCATCCATCTGCGTATTCAGTATCTTCGTCTATATTTTCAAAAAGCTTCTGCCAGTGAAATCAAACGCACTGGCACTGATCTGTGATTGGTCTGTTAGTGCATTAGGCCCAACCCCCTATGGGCGGTTTGAAAGGGTGAGATCTAGTGCTTGTAGTCTATAAAGAAATCCCCCTCTCTTACACTTCCTCCTACAATGACGTAAAATTACGATTTTGCGTCATTGTAGGAGGAAGTGAAAAAGGATTTCTCTCGTCTAAGGGGAAAATGAGAGAGTGTTGCACGACCATTCAATATAGTATAATTGGGTTTCTACCAATGGAAATCTTAATGCAAATGGGTGGAGTGTCCCTTGAAACATCAACACACTGAATAGGTAAACTCAGTCCGCAGCCTCATTATGCTCATAATCATGCTCTTACAATCTATTCTAACTCAAAAAGGTTCTGGGAACATGTTTTTAGATGAAAATGGAAAGAACTGTGGGAAGCTCAGTCATGGTGACGTTGAAGCCATGGGACCATGGTGTAGTTTGTTTATAGCCTTCTTAGCTTTTTTACTTCACACGACTGCATTTAGGCTTCAAACTTAATAAAAGTTGTGTTCATCTGTGATAATTATCTTGATGGACAAAACATGCAAGTATCATAAACTTTTGTTGATAATCCAAAAGCCTATGGGAAATTCCTAGAGGGTTTTTCTCGAGGGAACCAGCGTGGTGCGAACAGCGGGTTATTGAGGTATTTGTATTATTCAAATAAATATTTGAAGTTAATAGTCTATGTTTATCTGACCCATCCATAGAACAAACAAAGCAATTTTGCTTCAATGAGAAACTGTGATTTGGGGTTGTTAAACGCATTACAGTTTTTTCTGATGGATTAAAGTCGGCATGAAATCAAATTCGTCTTTTTATATGTAATATTGTAGTGTTTATTATAAATGATTTATCTGTGCACTTTATTATTTTTTTTTAAATTCATGTACCCTTATAATCTTTAACCAAATACATTACCCTTCCCTCCCCCCTCGAAACGACCTCTCTTCTCTTTCAGTCACGTGCCATGGCGAAAAGGATGCGGCCAAAGCCGATGAGGGTGTGGCTGTTGGTGCACCGCCTCTCAGACTGAATGTATACTGGCATTCAAATCTGCCTCCATTTTGTTTGCAAGGCCCAAATTCTAACGATCCAAATTCCAACGAAATTTCAGAAGCCGTTTCACTCGGATATACATCACAATAAGGAAAAAATTACAATCTCAACTTCCGTTTCATGCCGACTTTAAGCACATTTTTCGTAACCCTTGGCTATTTTTTTTTAGCAAAACTCTACACACAAATAAGAAAATACTTCACCAAATCAGCAAAACATTGTAGTTCTCTTGCAAAAGCTAATAAACCGTGCTTAACTCTTCAAACCTTCGTAAAAATGGTATATTCATATCAAACAGTTAACACAAGCCATCACATTACAGTTTTTCTGAATTGCTAAAACACTAAAACCCATTCTTTGAACCAAATTCTCAATAGTCTAAACCAATTTGTCAAATAAATCACTCTTTCTGTAAAACATTAAACAAGGTCAGGTGGTAAAAACACTCTTTTTTCAAAACTTTAAACACATTCTCACATGCACTTGTTTCAAAATGCTAAACACAGGTAGGCGAAAGCTAAACACAACTGCAACTACAACTCAAAATTCTTCACACTTATTTCCAACTGTACATCATACAAGTCAGTTCAGAGTCCCACAATTTACTCAAAATGTTGCACTGAATTTTGATATCAACAATGGATGGAAACAATATATGCGGGAAAGAAGGAAGAGTATGTGTGTAAGAGGTGGTGAACAAGCAGGAAGAGGTTGAGGACGAGGAAGAGCAAGGTGTGGAGAATGTTGTCAATGCTGACTCTGCTTTAGGGATTTTCACTTTCCCTCAGAGTTGACATATGTAACGGAGGCCAGCTAGTAGTTACTGTGCAAGTAAACCTCACTCCTCTCATCTCAATAGGTATCTAGCGACAGACGCCAGAGGTTGCAGTCTTTAGCCTCCTTGTTAGAGCGCCTGACTCTCATGCCGGAGACCCGGGTTTGA